TATACATATGGAGAGTGCTGTAATTCATGGAATGACAAAGTGATAAATTCTTCTGAGTGGCTTAGTTGGAAAAATTAAAGGATATAAAGAAAGATCTGGGATGTTAACAAAGAGGAACAAGAAGGGTTAGTAAGGGTTATGAATGAATTAGGATGATGGACAAAACAACGGTCACGCAGATGAAGGAAAAAGGAAGTAAATATAGAAGAACAATTGCGAAAGTTTTACGAATGAATTTAATGTGAAAACAGGTTAGAGGAGAAGAACAAAGTAGTCTATTGAGCGATGCCTAGAAATATGGGTGAGAATGCGATGATAGATAGACTAAATGCCAAAACAGAGAATATACTAGCTGATAATGGATTGTGGTTAAGCATGAGGGGGTGGGCTGTATAAAATTAAAAAAAATTAGATATATAATACACAAGAGTTTGCGAGTATAAAATTGTAATAGGAAAGAGAATACAGAGCTTGATCAAGATAATATTCTAACAAACTAGGCAAGCAGATGGATAATTGCGTAAAGACAGTCAAGAACTATGGTATGGGGAAACAAACGTATTACTAAGAAGGAAGGATAATACTAAATGTTATTAATTAGTGAGAAATAGGGTAGGAAATTAGTTTTGGCGAAATTAACAAGGCGGAACAGATGAATAAATGAATAATGATATGCAGGGTGGTCAAACAGATTCAATGCTAACTAATTATACTAGAACAAACTTAAATAACTTATACAATTTGGCTTTTATTAATGATAAGGTGTGTGATATACATTTTAAATAACGAATTACTTTAATGTAGAGCCTACCCGAGATTCGTTCGTTTCCAACACCAAAGGCCTACATTCTGCAGCGATACTAGCAGCATTCTTGCTGGCGATCCTGCTGACACTACCTCTGCTCAGGTTATGACCAGAAGGATCAACCGAAGAGACAGTGCCTGACAGGCCTGACTCAGGTTGACTCCCTGGAACCGTGATCAAGCCAGACGTAGTAGCAGAAGTCACCTGACGCATCTCTTCGGGCCTCCTTTAATTGATTTTCAAAGGCAAGACAAATTCAGCAATAGGGCAAGCATGCAATAAGGATAGTATATTCTATATAACGAGATTCCGCGACAGTAAATAGGTGTAATATAAAAACCTAGACAACCGAAGTCGCTTAAGGTGATTTACGGATTAGTAGTGGATTTTTATCCCAATAATATATATATATCTCATGATGCCAAATTCACTTAAACTTGCCTCTCAAAAGGTTATATCATCCAGGAGAGACCGCAGTTTCGACTTAAAATAGATCTCATCAGCATCTTCGACAAGATTCAATACCGGGTCGTGAGTAACAAAGTGAAGTTAGGACTCTATTATATAGCCCTCGGTGGCAATGGGTTACAGGGCAGATGTGAAATTCAAGGCAGTCGAGGCCTTTTTTAAATCGCTTTTGTAGTGTGAGTGTCACCTAGGCAAACAAGCATTTGCCACTCTCATCGACGAAGTTACTTATTTTTTATTTAAGTGGATTCTAAGACCATCATTAATTCTTAAATAAGAACCTAGTCACTTAATTCACATCCTGGGAAGCAATGCTAAGGAAAAAATCACTGACAATGCGGGGCTTACTGATCTAATTGTGGGAAAACTTTGATTACTACGCCTGAAAACACCTGAAAAGAAATAAAGTAACCAAGTTTCCATAATTAATTGAAAAAATGGTATGGGTGATGAGGAAGCAAAAAAAAACAAATGGTGCGAAGTATTGGAAGGACCAGAAATCTAGTGAAAGATAAAGTCAAATCAAAAACATAAAAATACATATCTACACACCTAATGATCAAAGAGCAACATTTCGATGAATATAAAATATGTATATAAACGAAGAACTCGTTAGCTTGACTTTGGTTGCAAAGCTGATACTCTACTCTGATTATGTTCATCATACAAATGACGTAAGCTTAGCACTTTTTCACCATCATCAAAGGAGATTACCTTGGAAACAGCGTCAACAGGAATGCTCCATTAAAGCTAATCAATAGCTGGTCAAGCGGAATCCGGTATCGTCTTATGGTGGGATCGACCTTAAAATCTCTTACCCAAACACTTTCACTCGAAATGGAAGTAGGCTCAACAAATATTAAACGAGAGAATCCTCAAAACCCAACTTTTCTTCGCAAGTAAATAAAAATCAAGCATATGGAAGATTGAAAATGATATAGTTTATGTAAGATACGAAACATTAATTTTACTTGGGCCACATTGTCATTGAAGATATTTGCTATCCCTATTATATTGCTCGTATTATGTATATCTTGATACAATATATCCCAAGCGACGATGGCAAGATTATAGACCATTATACCAATAAATAGCTGTGCTATTGCCTAAGACGGATAATTCCTTGAAATATAGATATCCATTTAATTGAGAAATTTAAGTTTGCTATTGTCCGAGGAAAGACGACTCAATAATCTCACCAAAATGAAGGTATCTCAAAAAATATCTGCATAAGGAGAGATCGGTTAAAATGGGAGGAAATCTAAGTTGTTATTTTATTAAACTAGATAAAAAATACACAAACTAGCGAAATTCATTTGATTGAAGCTCAAGAAAGTAAATGACAGACTCTCGAATACCGTCAAGAATTCATATGAATTTTCTCAAAGGATCCAGAACATTGGGTAGTGGGTTCGGAGCTGTTGGTGGTTTCGATGTACAAATTCATTAGAAGGCGATAAACGCCTTGCTGGAGATATTGGAGCGAGAAGAGGACATCCTGGAGGCAGAATGGATATGGAAAGAATCGTTAACACGACTTATCACCCTGATAGTAAGGACCACATATTTTACATTTAACGGCAGTATCTACGAGCAAATATTTGGACTACCGATGGGATCTCCACAATCACCTCTTATGGCAAATGTGTACATGGACAAGCTGTAAAAGGAATTCGAGAAGTCACCACTGCAAACAAGAGTGCTTATGCGATACTTGGATGACTACTTTGCACTTTAGTCACATGGTAAGGAAAATCTAAATTCATCCATTAACCATATTGATGAAAGAATTAAATTCACTATAGAGGTGGAAGAACACGAACGACTACCCTTTCTGGATATTGAAATCATGCGCTACAACAAAACATTGAGGAGGAGACTATACAGAAGGAATTCATATGCGGGAATAATCCTCAATTTTCAGGCTCCCCAGAGCTACAGGCTGAAGCTCGGAATACGGAGGAGTTTGATCATCATAAGCTTACGACTAACGGACAATGAGCTAAGGGACGAGGAGTTTAACAAACTGACACGGATTTGCCTTAGTAACGGATAGCCCAGAGAATTTATAGAAAAAAATGTAGGGGTTGTAAAGGGCAGATTTCAACTCGGATTTTATGAAAATCAGATCAGGAATCAAGAGGACGTCCAAAAGTGGATTTGCCTGCCCTCATTAGAACTGAGCAATAAATTGCGACCGTTACTAAGGAAATGGAATATCAAGGTGATAACAAAGGATTAAAAAACACTTTTCAATAGTCTGCTGACGCAACACGAGAAGACGGACAAACTTTATTGCTCGGGAGTTTATCGCATCAAATGCGGACACTGTGAGCAGAAGTATATCGGTGAAACAGGAAGAAAAATCGGCCGACGAATCAAGGAACATCAAAGGCTCTGCACAAACATGGATATGGAAAAATCCGAAATAGCGGAACACGAAATCGACTGGAAATCGACCGAAAGGCTGGCTGCATATGGTGAAATACGAAAAAAGGCAAGATCCGAGAAGCCATTGATATACTGACTAAGAGAAATCTCATGAACAGGAAATTTGAAGAAGGTAGGATCAACAAAAACTTTGCATATTACCTAAACAAACTAGAAGACCAGAGAACAGGAAGATTAGCAAAAAGAAGACGACTGGAATAAGGTAATATCGTTAATTTTAGGAAAAAATATCGCAAGGGGATGAGAAAGGAAGAATCAGAGGCAAAGAGGAGATGTGTTCAATTAGCTTTATCAAAACAAGTAGAACCACGACATTTGTGGTTTGGCGAACAAGAGACTAGGACATAGGAAGTGATAGTAATGGTATTATAGATAAAAACAGGAAAGACGCGGTGGAGACTAAAGCTATTTGGCTAAAAATAGACGTGTTTGATCATAGACGTGATCCTTTAATCACGACTATTTTTAGCCAACTAGCTCTAGCTTCCACTGTTTCTATCCTCTTTCTAGCTATAATACCAAGCCTATAACTTTCTATGTCCTAGTCTCTTGTGTGCCAATCCACAAATGTTGTGATTCAACATTGAACCTGATCAAAGCAAGCAGTACCACAACATTTGTGGGTTGGCATAAAAGAGACTGGGACATAGGAAGTCATAGAGTTAGTATTATAGATAGAAATAGGATAGACGAGGCGGAGACTCGAGCTAGTTGGCTGACAGTAGTTCTTACCAGAGACATGGTCACTGTAGCATAAGCTTGACGATGAGAATTACTCAGAGGCTTGAGCCTCGAATTAATCCCCCAGGCGCAGGGGAGGGCGAATAACGCCTCGAGTAGCACAGATGGGGTGGCAGGGGTCGAGCGAAATACGTAAACCAGGGAGAGGGCAGACGGATTTTACGAGGCAAGAGAGAGATTGTGATAAGACTTAGGGAAGGAGAACTGCGTAACAATATGGCAGACTCTGATCAACATTCCCAGCACAAGGGTGAAGGGGGTGGGAACGTCAGCGTGGAATGTGAAGGGTTTTCATGACTGTTGCTCAAATGAGCACACCACACTACATCGAAATAGTCACGGTAAAAATCGTGACAGCAGGGGAGATACCACAAATGTTTAGCACACGTTTGGTCAAAGGATTGGCTTCACTTGTCTCTTTGACGAGTTGTGTGGTGCTAAAAATGGCGAGACTCACTGGCGATGTCGACTACGATGTCTGCGAAACGTCTGGGAATGTACCACGTCCACGGTCAGCCTCTGGAAACGATCATGCATACAATGGACTCCGGACTGGGTGCGTTCCTCTAAGTCTTCCTACCAATATGACCAAGTTGC